ACCCAGCACTTCTCGATAAGTATGTATGTTCATATAAGACTGTCATTTGGTTGAGAATATGATAAACTGATATAATTCGTGGAAATGAGGATCCTATTTGCACAATCAGGGGGAATAATCTATAATTTGTCAGCCATAAAGATGAACATCAGTTGGCGAAGGTACGAGGGGTGATCAAAAAGTTCTCGGCCTCACCTAGAAAATAAAGGTCAAACTCCTATTCTTTAATATAGCTGTATACTATGACGTCTTACATCACTGCACACAAAAATTCAAATTTTTATATTCATTAATTAGCACGTGACGCCCCGTGAAAATGGGGTGGGTGAGGGCAAAATCACAAAATGGCCGCAACAGAAGCGTGTGCTGTGACCAAGTGTATCGATAAAAAGGATGTCTCCTAAGGAAATCCATGACGACATGGTCAAGACACTTGTTGATGACTACCCTTCTTATTAAAATATAAAGAAGTGGGTTGCTAGCTATAAGCGCGACAAGGAGAGCACAAAAGATGAACATAGGTCAGGATGCCACAAATCAGCACCATGGACAATCCAGTTGAGGCCACCCATCACATGGTAGTAAATGACAGATGTGAGACTGTCCATCATGTAGCAGGTTCTTTGGCCTGTGTTATGACCCAGTTCACAATATTTTGCCGAACATCCTGGGGATGAACAAACTATCTGCATGGTGGGTGCCTCGAATGTTTTCTGAACATCAGAAGTTAAACAGGCGGGACATTTCAAGGAACGAATTCAGTCCAATGCATGCAATTTCCTCAAAACATTTGTAACCCAAGATGAGCTGGGTTCACCACTTTCACCCCCGAATAAAAACAGCAGAGCAAACAATTGAGGAAGAATTTTCCCCGGCCCCCCAAGAAGTTTTAGCGAGTTTCGTCCGTTGACAGGGTTTTTCCCTCTGTTTTCTGGGACAGTAAGGAAGTAATCATGATTGACTACCTGCGAAGGGGTTAAAGCATCAATGGGGAGTACTATTCAACAGAATTACGACAGTTGAGGACAACGATCAAAGAGAAAAGGAGAGGAAAGCTCCGAGGTGGCCTGCCAACAACGCACCTGTCCACACAGCACAGGGGTCAGTGGCAGCAGCAAACGAATTTGGGTTTGCAGTCTAACCCCACCCTTCCAAAACACCTGACCTAGCACCCTTGGACTTCTACCTGTTTCCTAAACTCAATTTCCACTTACGCAGTCAACGTTTTAATGGTAAAGATGACGTCATCTATGCGGTATAGGCCAATCTGGGGGGTCCAAATGCAACCTTCTTCCACAATGGGAAAATAAAGCTGGAACATCACTGGACTAATTGCATTGCAGTTAGAGAGGACTATATTAAAAAATAGTGTAAGAAAAATTTTAATGCCATGACGTTTTCTAGGTGAGGCCGAGAACTTTTTGATCACCCCTCGTACATGCGAGAGGACCGCAAGTAGCATTGGACTTCCAAAAAATTGAGAACGATCGACACAGTTCTAATAGTCGTTACGATTCGGACCAAAAGAGTGGAACATAATTATGTTTTGTATATCCATAAACATTTTGATATTTTCCCCAGTTTATATTTCCTGCTAACTTGCGCGGTATTAAATCCACGACTTCGAATCGTGGAATATCCAAGATGCGTCGGTGTCTTAGCCTGATATTTCTAACAATGTCCACATCATAATGAAAAAAAAAAACAAGTACAGGTCATTCTTTGGCCCAAAGAATGGCGCCTATCTCTCCTGAAACCGTTCTATACCCGTGAAGACGTATTTTGCATGGCTTAGTTAGCGCACAAGAGATGTGAGGACAGCCCATCTACTTGGTCGTATTATTAAACTGTACATATTTTATAAAGATATGTAATGAATAAAAGAGTGATGACTTCTTCTAGATAAAGCGTTGGCGTTTTTTGTGTGTTTTTTACGGCTTTCTGAGTCGTTCTTTAAATGTAGTAAGTTGAATCAACCCTGTTAAATAGCATATTGGTATCTTTGAGGAAAAAATTAGGTGTCGCTGACGGGAAATGCTTGTTTTGTAACGTAGGCTGGTTCTAGGTATTTATACCCAAAAATAACGCTTCAAGTATGAAATGTTGACGAAAAAGTGCTAAGAAATGGCAGTAAATTTCCATATCAAGAATATTTTTATTTGCCTTCCAGAAATTGCCTTTCCTTCCTTGAGTTTCTCGCTCGACTTCTTGAAGTGTCAAAGAATCCCTTGGCTATGAAATGTTGTTCCCGCCCCTAGACCTCGTCGATACATGATATCTCCAGACCACATAGCTTTTCGCTGCTGGCTTATCGACCGAGCCCGGGCAAATTTACGGCGAGGCATTAACTGGCGCACATAATCAATGTGGATACCGGCGGTTGTCGTGTGCGGTCCCGAAGGACAGATTGTGGGGATGATTGCACGGGATTAGCTCGGAGCGAAGTGTCGTGTTTTTTACGATCGACTGGTGACGTCCGCAGACAAGTTTGACGTTTCCTACGACGATAAGCGTGCAGTTCTTCAGCTGTGGAAGTAAGGAAATGATGCGACACCTTTCGTTTTCTCCAGAAACTGCAGCTACTTACCTCCAAGCACAACACACGCATATATAGTTATTCGTACCAGAATAAACAACGTGAATTGTATTTCTCGTAAATTGTAAAAGAAAACACTAGAAAGTTAACATTTGCAAACCAAGGAATCTAAATCCCTCCTCCTATAAAATTGCAACATGATGTAACCCAAGTTACCCAACACCAGTTACCATGGTCACAGCCGTATGGTTCAGGTCATTGACCTTATTGGTTTGGAGGAGAAGAGGAAACAGAGCAAAAACAATATGTTTTCCTTCGGTAAGGATAAATAAACAAAGCAGCTACAATCACTGACACTCACACCTTATCATAAATGCGACATCGTCACAAGTGCGTCACCGTACACCAGTGTCGTGCTGCGTCCTTCCTGTGTTGGGACCACAGCAGCAGGGAGAGGGGAGACTGTCTGTCACCTCAGCACACCCCTGACGCGAAACTTTGGCAAACATCGCCGTGTTGTCTAATTAACTCAGTCTCTATGGATCACATTATCTCAGGGAGCAGAAACCCAAACATAGCTGGAGTTCTGAGTTATTTTTTCAAACGGCAATTATTACATTCTAACTGACAGAATGTATTCGGTGATGATTTACACACACTGTGTTATCAGAAATCTGAAGATTTTATAAGGATCTAATTTTAGTATACCAATATTTATAGGTGTGATTATTTCGAACCCTGCTTGTCAATGTTTATGCCCTCTGCGGTGGACGTTATGTTTGCAACATCGTTTGTTTCGTGTTTTCGTTCATTAACACTACACCACCAC